TTTTTTTTTTTGTGTGTGTGTATGTGTGTGTGTGCCAGGGATTTTAAAAAGGGTTGCTTAATTACTGAGACACATCCCCAGCCCTTTTATATTTTATTTAGAAACAGGGTCTTGCTGAGTTATTTAGGGCCTCGATAAGTTGCTGAGGCTAGGTTCGATCTCAAGATCCTCCTGCCTCATCCTCCCGAGCCACTGGATTACAAGTGAGTACCACCATGCCCAGCATGACAGTAAATCTTAGTGAGGTGATCTGATACTTAATCATGTGTAGATTCACCATGAATTCAACAGCTGAAAATACAAACTGATAGAGGATATTTATTGGCAACATATACATGAGTTTATAGAATAGTAAATAACTAGCCAGTCATGGTGGCACATGCCAGTGACTTTGGATGCTCGGACAGGAGAATCACCAGTCAGCTTCAGCAATTTAGCGAGGCCCTAAGCTACTTAGCAAGACCGGTCTTAAAAAATAAAAGTGCTAGGGTTGTATCTCAGTGGTAAAACATCTGGGTTCAATCTCTAGTACCAAAATAATAATAATAATAATAATGAATAAGAATAGTAAGTAATTTGATAAAATTCTAAAAAATTAAAGCATAATACATACCTGGAAAATTATATATACTAAACCAGTATAAAAAGTCTTTCTGTTTATAAGTTAAATGCAGTTAGCTTCTGTGCTCTAATAATTGTAGTAAGGCTTTTTGTTCTACCTGACCATGGCACATTGGAAAGGCATGTGGGCTGAGACAACTCTTCACTACACAGTTGTATCCTATATACCTCCAGTGTCCAACAGCCCTAGTGTCCACTGAACTAAATGCCATCGAGCTCCCCAAGTTCTGTGGAAACCCAGAAATCATTACTTGCTTTCTGAACACCTCCCTGGTACTTCCCCAGGGAGAACCACACCCCATAGCTGCATTATCATGTTCTTTATAGAAGCCTCTGGAGTGCCAGAAGGAGAGGCACAGTTTCAGATTAACTTCATTTTACTATTTTTAAAAATCATCCTCAATACTTTCTCCTCTTTCCCATAGATTGAAGTAGGCTCTACAAACGTCCGGATAGGAAGCACCATTTTTGGAGCCCGGGATTTCTCAAAGAAACCTGCCCTGGACAAGAGTACAACAGACCTGAAGGCCCCAGTGGGGGTGGCACAGGAACACTGAGCTGAGGACAACCAAGAAGACTAACTATGCACAAACCCTGATTCTCATTTTGATATCCCCGTGTTACAGCCCAATCATGCTCTCTTGTGACCTTGATAGAGCACTGATGATCATCACATGTGTTGATGGAAACCATCTCACATAGAAAGCTTGCTTCAGGCAGTGGCTCTGGATTAAATTTGAGAAATCCAGTCTCTTCTACAGAGCAAATACCAAATCCGTAGCCAGGAAGTGAGTTTAATGTTGAATTCTGTGGACAAGCACCAACCAATCTGTGAATCTCTTTTTCAAGTTAAAATTTGAGTCATTGAGCCAAAGGTAGTGGCATACACCTATAATCCCAGGGGGAGGCTGAAAGAGGAGTAACATAAGTTGGAGGCCAGACTGTGTAACTTAGACCCTTAGCAAGTTTCAAAATAAAAAGGGCTGGATATAGCTTAGTGGAAAAGCATTTGCCTCACTTGTCTGAGAATCTGGATTCAATCCCCAGTACTGGGGGAAAAAAAAAAAATGGAGTCATGAATGCCTATAATTATGGAAGTCAGAGGGATTCCCCACCCTCCTCCCACTTCAATAGGAAATTCCTATGATTACAGACTTCTTACAAGTTGCTACTTAATGGTCACCTTTGCTGCTCAGTAGATAGGGAAGGCATTCTCTGCTCAGGAATGGCAATATAAGTAACATAAACAGTGGTTTAAATTAGGCTCCAAACACAAATTTTTGCTAGAGGGAGTTTGTGTCATTGACCACTGTGATACTGACCCTGAAATTACAGGGGTTAATTGATTGTAAATAGGACCTGGGTCTTTCTGAGTTCCTTGTGAACAGACCGGATTTTGAGCTTTTACCTCTAGGACCTACAGTGATGGAATTTAATACAATTTCTCCTCCACCATAATCCTCTTTCGGGTGACTTTCTAGACAATAAAATTGAATTTCACCACTCCTCAAAAATGAAAGTTCTATCCAGGCACAGTGGTGCACACCTATATTCCCAGCCATTTGGGAGGCTGAGGCAGGAGGAACTCAAGTTTGAGGCCCACCTGGGCAATTAGTGAGACTATGTCTCAAAATAAAAAAGGGCTAGAGGTATAGCTCAATGGTAGAGCACTTCCCTGGCTCACATAGAGTCCTGGATTCTATCCCCAGTACTGGGGGGAGAAAAAGAAAAAAATTGAAGTCATTAAAGCCAGTTCAGGCACATGGTTTCAACAAGGCTTTCCTTTGACGTTTCCTTTCTGGGGAAGCGTTTTCTACGCACATTTACAGCTCCCCGCTGTATTTATAAGCCAGAATTTTGAAGCTCTTCTTGATTGTTAATAAAGCATTGATATCTTCAAAAACCAGAAAGCACAATTCTCTAACAGTCATGACAGATGGATTCAACGTGGGTTGTTTATTTTCTAGATAGCTTTTTCTCTTATTTGTTCAAGCCGTCGTCTTTAATTTTATGAAATAACTTTGAGAACATGATGCTGCTGCTGAATGTAATTTTGTAACACACCATTATGATTCCTGTACTGTTTAAATCAAAGCTATAGTGTGATATTTCAGAGTGTTAAATAAAATGTGAGTTTGAATTATACCATCTGTGCCAATTACAAAGCAATTAAAAGATTTATTTTTTATGATCTGGTGTAGTAAGTGATCTAACAGGAGGTGGGCATTGGAACCGACAGGGAGCAGCTGCGCCTGTTGCTTGCCAGCCTGGGCTTTGAAGAAGGGTTTTTCTTGGATCACAGATGCAGCCAAAGCCATGCTACGGATAAAAAAGAGATTCTGAACTTCTAGGGCAAGGAAATTAAAGATGATTCAGGAATTACAAAGAGGTTAGCTTTGGCTGCAGGAAACTCTTGAATTGCCTCTAGATGGCGACATTGGCTAAACTGGGGCAAGAATTAGGGCTCCACTGTCAGCAATTTACCCTGGAAGGGATTCCTGGTTATTTTAGTCTCCTTCTCTCTTTTGTTGGTTTATTTATTTGGGCAGTGCTGGGTATCAAACCCAGGGCCTTATGCATGGTAGGCAATCGTTCTATCATTGATTTGCACTGCTAACCTTATCATATTTCTTGGTGTGTTTATTTTTATGTTTTATCTTGAGACAGGGCCTCACTAAATTGCTGAGGCTGGTTTCAAACTTGTGATCCTCCTGAGTCTGTGGGATTTCAGGCCTATGCCTCCCTCCATACCCAGTAGGCTTATCACACTTCTTAAAGCAACCTCTCAATTGTATCCCCTTCCAGTTTTTCTCTTTTTTTTAGCATTCATGGTTAATAAGCACTCTCCCTCATATTCTCTTATTTTAATCTCATAACAGATGGTCGTGTATTTTAGGCTACTTGGTGATATCATTTTTTGGACAGGCAATGAGGCCCAGAGCAGGGACCCTCCTTGTTTGAGATCAGAACAAGTTGGTGGCAGGGTAAGAAATAAACTCCAGACTCCTGACTTCTCTGGTCTGCAGCTTGGTCACTACATTACCATGGTATTCTTGGCTTTTTGCCGTAACAGGGATTGAACCCAGGACTTCTCATGTCCTAGTCAAGTGCTCTATCTCTGGCTTTAATCACTGAGAAATAGCATTCTTAGATTTGCGGCTCTAACTTCAGAGACATATCACTATATAACAAATGTGCAGTTTTTAGTTTGTTGTATTACTTGAGAATCGATGCATCTTAATGCAGAACAAACTCTGAAACCACAAGCAGTGGTGGTGAGAAGGAAGGAGAGAATTAAACTCAGCCATGAGGAGGATTAGCCTCCCTTCCGTCATCCCACTTCCCTGGCATGCACATTCCTCCTCCAAATTCAAACTCTCCCACAGTCTGCGGGGCTCAGAGTGTGCAAGACTGTGCCCTCCCTCCCACCCCCGCTCCCCAGGGCTGAACCAGCAGTCAATTCTGTTACCCAAGACTAGACACAGAAGGAATGAGGTCAGAACGGGGCATTCTTAAAACCCAAGACATTTTTGTCCTTTGGAAAACAAGTAACCCCGTTCTTCCCACCAAAGCTTTTAGAGGGGAAGGATAATTCCTGAAGGACTACAGCAGGGGTGGGACTTTGCCAGTATGCAATTGGAAATGGTTTGCTCTGGGAACAGTGACTGTCTTTACCATGAAATCAGTTGAATGCTATTACATCAGCCTCATGACTAAGGGTAAAAGAATCCAAACCACCATCCTCCAAAATGATGTACAAATCTGCCCTCCATGAAGGAACACATAGGTAAAGAAAAAGAGAAAAAGATTTTTTTTCTCCCCAGTGCTGGGGCTCAAACTCAGGGCTTTGTGCATTTTAGGCAAGTTCTAGGCAAGTACTCTACCACTGAGCTACTGAGCTACACCCCCAGTTCAAGAAATGGGCTTCTTTCCTGTCCCATTTGTATCATTGCGTATATACTGTACCTATGTGTAGTTGAGTCAAAGTCACTTTGAGGTCGCAAGGGACATTGGAGCTAGCACTTTATTGTCCAACACAGATCAATTCTGGATACCAGGGCTGGGGATGTGGCTCAGGCAGTAGCACGCTCACCTGGCATGCGTGCGGCCTGGGTTCGATCCTCAGCACCACATACAAAGATGTTGTGTCTGCCAAGAACTAAAAAATAAATATTAAAATCCTCTCTCTCTCTCTTTAAAAAAAATAAAAAAAATAAAGGACTCCAAAGACAAAAATCATGTCATATGACTATATTTTAAAAAAAAAAAAAGTGTGGGGACCACCAGAGGGAGTTTGGGTACCTTTCTTGTATTTGGGCCAGAAGGGAGAGGAGATGCTAGAGATTGAACCCAGGGGCTGTCTACCACTGTGCTACACTCTCAGCCACCCTTGCCCCACCTCCGCAGTGAGTGTGTGTGTGTGTGTGTGTGTGTGTGTGTGTGTGTTGAGACAGGCTCTTGCTAAATTGCTGAGGCTGGCCTTGAATATGCCATCCTCCTGCCTCAGCCTCCTGAGTAGCTGGGATTACAGGCACGTGCCACCACACTCCTTTCTTGTATTTAAAATACCTTTACAAGCTCAAGCTCCTGAGCTGTGGGATGCCAAGGGAGCAGACGCCACACTTCGATGCCTGAGTGCCTCTCCCATGGCTCAGGTCATGCTAGCTGAAACACCCCCTGCCAGCTGCCTGCTAGCGTCTGCCCCCACCCACCCTCCAAGGAACGGCCGTGCTGCTCTCCAGCTTCAGAGCTGAGCTTGACCCGGCTGCCAATCTCCAAAATAAAATCAATGTGTGACCTTATTCAGCAGATGTACCGAAGAAACACGCACAGACCAGGGCCAACTTTGAAGCCAAAAAGGGAAGATGAGAAGTGGGAGAGAGAGAGAGAGAGAAGGGAAAAGAAACTTGGCTGGACATGAAAGGTGTCTTGTCCGTCTGTTCCCCATTAGGCACAATTCTCTTGCAATCTGCAGCCTCAACATAATTCTCTTGACCAGAAACTCTCCGGAGAGATAGTGTCAGAAGGAAAAACAAACAGAATAGCATCTTCTGACAGCGAAGTCACTTAAAAACCTATTTGGGGGGAGAAGAGGAGAAATGTCAGCCCATCACGGGGCGGGCACTCCTTGACAGCAGGCCACATGTGGAGAGACACTTTGCCCAGAGACTGGACAAGGACAGAAAGGGCAGCCCAGAGAGGGTTGATATGCAAGGGCAAGGTGTCCCAGAAAGCCAAACCCCGAATTTTTCTGCTTACCATCTGTTCTGATGCCTCAAGATCTGCCTAGTCAGGCTTCCCAATAAACCCACAAGGGCCGGGGATGTAGCTCCCGGGTAGAGCACCTGCCTAGCATGTACAAGGCCCTTGGTTTATCCCCCAGCACTGCAAAAATAAAATCAATCAATAGAGACTGAGGGTGTAGCTCATTGGTAGAAAACTTGTCTAACATGTACAAAGCCTTAGCTTGGGATCCCCAGCACCACAAAAAATAAAATAAACCCCACGGTGCTTTTTATGACCCCATAGTACATGGAGAATTCAGAAGGACTGTTCAGAAAGATGGCCACCAGCAACCAAAGACTAGAGACTCAACTATCCCTGTAAGTGTGTAACCATCTCCCCAAGCAGCAAGACCTCTTCTCCCCTGGCCGTTTTGACCTGCCCTGGAGCTAAGCATTCTAGCATTGGGGAAGCAGAGCCCCACCCCACCCGCGGGAGCCCAGGGGGAAGGTTCTGGAGGGGTGGGGTGTGCAGGGCAGGGCAGGCAAGGGCGGCAGTTCTGTGCTCAAGTTTCTGGGGCAGGCATCCTGTTATAGGAGAGACCTTTTTTCAAAGGAAGAAAAACTAATCAGCAGAAAGAAGCAAGAGCTTTCCCCTGCCTTTCGGACTTGTTTATTACTGGGATATCTGATTTCAGCAAAGGAAGCCGGCACCAAAGCAAGGTTTTTATTGGCCGTGAGCAAGAGGAATTCAGGGCTTGCCTTTGATTTGGCTTCCCCAGAACATGAGGCACTGAAGGGTGTTCGCTGCTTTGATGGAGAAACAACAGAATTTGGGGGGCCCAAATTCCCTATTTCAGGCAGCATGGACCAAAAAAAAAAAAAAAAAATCCCTTTGGAAGATGAAGGTAGAGTAAGGAGCCCAGAGTGGGATGTGGCCTCACAAACATTTCAGAGGGGAAATGGAAATGGAGGACAACAGTCAACAAGTTCTGCAACTGGAACATGAGTGAGGGGCCTGCCCTCCCTTCCCTGCGAGTGGGGAGTCGGAGGAGGGCAGGTCTGGTTTGGATGAAAGCACAGTGTTCTGAGACATCTCTAACCCACAGAACTAGGCAGGCTGCAGTGGAGGGCTGGGGCCTGATGGTTTCAATGTGTTGGGAAGATAAAGCCAGAGATTGGAGAGGCAGCCTCTGCCAACAGCACTCCACAGCTGGATGGGCTGGGGCTCGCTCGGGGAGGGGTTTCCCAGCTGGGCCACAGGTTCCCCCAGGCTACAGAGAGCTGCCACTCTGGGTCTGCAGCCCCAGGCAGTCCCATGGCCTCATCTCACCCTGGGCTGGTGTAGCTTTCCTGCTTCCTTCTGGTCTTCCTAGGAGAACCAGTCTCACACTGGAGAAAAAGGGAGTGTGCCCCAATTTGTGGGTCCTTGGAAAAACCCAACCATCTCTGCTCTCTCTGTCTCTCTGTGTCCGCCCCCCACCCACCCCCCACCTCGTCTGTCTGTCTCTCTCTCTCTTTATACTGGGATTAAACCTAGGGGCACTTTACCGCTAAGCTATATCCCCAGCCCTTTTTTTTATTTCGAGACAGGAGCTCACTGTCCTCAACTTGTGATCCTTCTGCCTCGGGCTCCTAAGCCACTGGGATTCCAGGCATGTGCCACCACACTCAGCTCCATGTCCTGTCTCAAGCCGCCTTCCCCTCCGATCCCTTCATTATCCTTCTCCACTGGAAACAGGAGGAACTCCAAAGCTGAGATCTCTGAGTGGCCATGCTTCTCGTTACTCCTTTGATCAGCCCTAAGGGAGGAGACAGGAGGAGGCCAGCAACCTGAAGCTGCTACCAGGGAGGCTGGGATTTGGGGGCCTTTGTGGATGGTAGAGGGAGCCCCTTGGTGGAACTTTCTGGCAGGGAGATGGCTCCACCTGGGTCTGGCTCTCCTCCTGTTGCAGGTTTGTGAGTAGGA